TCTAAATATACCATGATATAAGAGTGTAATCTAAATATACCATGATATTAGTGTGTAATCTAAATATACCTTGTTACTAAGAGTAGAATATAGATTTACAATGATATAGAGTATAATCTAAATATACCATGATATTAGAGTATAATTTAAATATACCATGATATACAACATTATTAAGGAGTAACATCTGAATATTGGATTATAGTAAAAAGATAACAGTGGATCAATTTTCTCGTTGCATAATTAATTACAGAAGATGTCTTGAACTGAAGTCTAAAATCTACTTGATTTTAACATTGTTGTTAAGTTTTGCAAAAATGAAGTTAATATTATGGAGAAATAAAATATTACATTAACAAATTAACTACTGTAACATTGAATACACTCTGTTTTTCTGGTTCAATGTTTTAAAGTTGAGGATTTTCTGTTTTTTTTGGTTAAATGGTCAAATTGGTCAAAATCTTATGTCAAATTGTAGATTGGCGACATAGACCACTTTCCTAAAAGTAATGAAACTGGGGGTGCTGTTGTTATAGTGAGAAAAACAAACATATCAGTCTGCTTATATTCGATAAAAAACAATTTTATCTTTGTAACATCAACGTTTACGTTACACACCCCATATCCAGCATGCACGCACATGTGAAATGCCATATCTTCAACTTCCAGGGAAACTGGTCTATACGTGTAGGGTGAAAAAATTATACATTTTGATAGGTGTGTGTGTGGGGGGGGGGGGTACTTTTCGTTGATTTATTGATTATGTACGTTAGTTTTAGAAGAACAAAAAAGAACTATTTTTTAAGCAATGCTTTGAATGAAACTGTAACAAAATGCTGTTTCATGTTACCATGGAAATATAGCTCTATGGTTGTACATAATGTGATGTGGCCTCTATGTCGGGCACAAATGACAGGGCATACAGAGAGAAATTAAGTTTTGTATTTCTGGTTGAACTGAATAAATAACATCAGATCAGTTAGCTTTGTGATTTTAAAATCATTTACATTCAGTCGATATGAGGCAATTACAAATGAATATCGGGTACCTCATCTCGCATCTCAAATTCACTGGGCTTAAAAGAACTCTGCTCAAAAGTGCTTATGCGCTGGTAGTCATGGTTATCTGCTGCCACATCTTGTTCTTCATCTTCGTCATCAGTAGGATAATAGTTTTCTCCATCATAATCATCCACATTTTCTCTCTCTTTATCATCAGTATTTTCTGTTTGCTCTTTGTCTTCTGTTTTTTGTTGGGAGCTGTTGTTTTCAATAACAACTGCTTTGATGTCTGTTTGGGTCTCGTTTTCTATAGTGGGTTTATTTTCATTCAGCTCTGTCTCACGAATATCATCAGCTAGTCCTCCGTTGAAAGTTGAATCTCCTTCATAAAGGTTCAATTCATAAAAGTCGACATTTTTACTAGAAAATAAATGTAGATGAAAATAAAAAATGATTCAACTATTACTATTGTTACCACGGGTTTGCAATATAAAGGCATGAAATTAATTTTTTTCATTATTTTGATCCCAGCAATAAGTCGGTGTGAAATTACTCCAAGATTGTGCCTGATTGGCTACCCAACACATAAATCTGACCAATCAGAGAGCAGCTTTTTTTTTCAGATGTTTTGATTCGACTGCAATACTGAGTCAAACTTACCTTTGTGATACCAAATGTGAGTAAAACACATAGTGATGCGTCATGTGATGCGTCATGTGATGTGTCATGTGATGTGTCATGTGATGTGTCATATACTTATGAAAATGGCATGCAAATAGGGGATTTCCTGTTCACTGCAAAATCTTGTGTAATAAGTAAAAAGAAACAGTTTTTATTGTTGAATAGCAAAATTCCTACCTTTCATTGAGGATTATAGAATTGAGAGATATCTATACTTCATCAGTTCAGAAATGTGCATGTGTAACCCTTTGAGTGCCAGATAATTTTCCCGCCAAAATTCAGAACAAATATTTTCAAATTTTGTAGAATTTTCACATTTTGTAAAATTCTCACGAAATTTCATCATCATTTTGGATCATACAGACAGTTTTAGTTATTAGTCCCCGTTCGGACGCAGACTTATGTTTTGCCCTGTGTGCGTCCGTCCGTCCGTGCGTCCGTGATCACCTGTATCTCGAACATGCATGGACCGATTAAGTTCAAACTTCACTCATACATCACACATTATATGGGACATATGCACATGCATTTTTTTCATGATCCGATTAACGATAGCCGAATAGCGGCCATTTT